CGTCCCGGTCCAGAAAAGGCCGCAACTGGTGAATCAGGCGAACCTGATAAAACGCCCCCCTGGTCACGGCCGACAAATGGTCATCCAATGTCAGCCGCAAATCCAGGAGGACTCCCAAGTTGCGTGCCCTCTCTGAGGGGGCCAAGATTTCGCCCCCTATAGTCAGCGATGGTGTCAGCTGGCTATGCCGAGGCGCCGGTAACCACAGCCACTCGGTCTTGGAAGGGTTGAGCCTGAGTCTGTTCCTCCCCATCCAGACCCGTACGGCCTCCAGGCAACGGGCCATCACGTCAAGGGCAACGTTGGGGTGGTCTGGGTGGAAATGTACAGCTGGGTATCGTCAGCGTACTGATGGAAATCCACCCCGAAGCCACGAATGATCTCCCCCAGCGGCTTTACATAAATATTGAACAGAAGGGGAGAGAGGACCGACCCCTGAGGCACCCCACAAGTTAGGGGTCTAGGAGTCGACCTCTGTCCCCCTGCCAATACAGACTGCGTACGGTCGGTGAGGAAGGAGGAGAACCACTGCATAACGGTGCCTCCCACTCCTAACTCACCGAGACGTCGCAGCATGATACCGTGGTCTACGGTATCAAAAGCCGCTGAGAGGTCCAAAAGAACAAGGACAGAGGAGTATCCCCTGTCCCGGGCCCTCCAGAGATCATTAACCAACGCGACCAATGCCGTTTCCGTGCTGTGCCCCGGCCTGAATCCCGACTGGTATGGGTCTAGATAAGCTTGAAATTTAAAGATGCTTCGATAAATAAATAGATTTTAACCTAGCACCAGAAATAATGCAGCAAGCATTCTTCCTGTGACTGGAGATTCTGAAACCAGGCTGCCACTATAGAAAACAATGTCTCATATTAATGGGCAGAGAGGATAATCTTAAAGCACGTGAAGCTTGATAAGGACCCTTGGCCAAATCACTGCTGCTGTCTTTGTTTCCTTATTTCCCTCCATCTGGATCTCCATCCGGTTCTGTCTTCTGTAAACAAACATATTACTTGCCAAAGCTATCCAGATGTGGAGGTTTTTGATGCACTGCAGGGAAAGCTGCAAGAACCACTGTTGCAGTTTACAATCTCTATAGGAAGACCGAGCAGATTGTTTGTAGCATGAACTAAAATAATGAATTGCACTGATGCCATTAAAATGCATGTTTTAGGAAGTGTGTGTAAGAGTTGTTGAAGAACGAGTGATTGGAAAAAGAAAACTGGGAGAGTATAAGTCCCTCCTGCCGTGGTTGAAATGAATATAATTTCTCTAAAATGGCATGGATGCCAACAGATCCAGGAGGATTGTATTAATTAATACTGGGGCTGGAA